TCTTGGGGTGCATCCTGGGCACAGCCCATGCATTCCACCCAGGACAAAGAAAGATCTGCTGCCCGACAGCTGGTGAGTCAAATGCAGGCACAATGAAGGAGGTGCACATTGCATGTGGCTTCCAGAAGAGCCACTGTGGAGATGTTCCCCCTGGACCACTAGGCCCAGGTGTAGCAGGAGAGCAGCTCTAGTCCGCACTATGCCCCAGGGGCTCATGTTCCCACCTCCCTCCATTCTGTGGGTTCCACTTCTGGTGAGGGTTAACATTAACGAAAACACTTGATATGGTTTGGATGATGCTTGACTGTGTTCCCCACAGATTCATGGATTGAAATTAATCCACATTGTGAGAAACTAGTGAAGCAGAGGGTCCTTTGGGAAGTGATTAGGTAAGGTTAATATGGTGTTGGCCCATGGCTGAATCCCAGAAGAGGGACAAGCGCATGTGCGCCCCTCCCCATCTCTTGCCATGTGATGTCCTGCACCTCCTAGGACTCTGCCAGCAAGAAACCATTGCCAGATGTGGCCCCTCAACTTCACATCTCCAAAACCATGAGCCAACAGAAGCCCCTGTGTTATAACTCACCTAGTCTGTGGTACTTTTTTCTTTATTTTTTGGCAGTGCTGGGGATGAAACCCAGAGTTTTGTGAATGCAGGGCAAGTGCTCACCACTGAGCTACCCCAGCCTTTGTGGTGCTGTGCTATTAGAGACAGAAAGTTGGCTAGTACAGGACTTGAGCCTGTATTTGGATTAAAAAATGAGGACAGATAACAAAAGCCTGGGTATGATATGGATTTTGCAGTTTCCAGCTTCTCTGCCATGGACAGTTCAGCTTAGTCTGGCCCTACAGTGGTAGTAAGGGTAACCAAGAAGCCAGAAACTGTGGAGAGTCAGGTTCTCCAGAACACAGAAGCACTACTGGAATGAAAGTGCCCTGCCTGCCCCTCTGCAGGACTCAGGCCAGTAGCAGGGATGAATGGGCCTGTGCAGAAGACGGAGAGCCCCGTGGATAAAAGGCACTTCATGATATGAAAAGTGCTGCTTACAAAGTGTGCACTGCTCACACAGTGAAGGAGAAGGGCGGCGTCAAACTTGCTCCCTGGAGTGTGGTGGTCACACGTCAGCACACAGTTGTAGACCTCAAAAGCATGTGTTTGGCTCTGAACTACATTATGCAACAACCTCTGAATGGGTATGCCTGCGCCAATGTGGACTCAACGTGCCCCAATAGTAGCCCAAGTGGAGAAGAGGAGGTAGCCCCCCACATCCCCCCAAGGCAGGAATCGCAGAGGCTGGTAATGAACACAGCCCCAGCAGGTTGCAAGCCTCAGAGCTCACTGGAATCAAGAGAATGTATTTTGAGAAGACATCTCCAGAAAATGAGAACAAAATATGTGAAAACAACAACACATATTTTCCCAGGAGTGCTCTCTGAATACAAACCCACAGCAGCCAGGAATACCCCTCATCAGAGACAGGCTGCATTTGCTGCCACCTGAACTGAAAACCAACTCCCCTTACTGAAGACTTCTCTTCTTATGGGACTGCAAGCATAACTGGAAAAAAATCGAAAAGTTTATGAAAGTGCAATGATAAGAGCATTTTCTCTTATATGGAGACATCTCTGAATCGAGCTGCAAACTGAAAAACATTATCTACTAGAACGAACTAGCTAGTGCTTGCGGCTGGATGGCTGCCGGGGGTACGCATCTGGACTTATCCTTATGATGAGTAATTCTCAAGTCTGGCATTTGTCCTGGCATAAGAAAATATGTAATTCAACAACTCACACCCACGTTAACCTTTGCCAAGCCACAAGGGAGAGTAGCAATATGGTATTTTGCACTGCAAATGCTGACTTGGGTCTGAACCCAAGTGAATAGCAGGCGCATCTGCTGGTTGGACTCAGAGCTAGCCACAATGCCTTCCCAAGTGACTCACAGTGAAGCCCATGGGTCTGCAATGATTTGTAAAAACAACCCAACAACAAGCTTTTCTAACAGCAAACCTCTGAAACGATTTCTGAGAGTTGCATCATGGTGTTCACCTGAGGATGGGCCCACAGTCATGTGAGGGCCACGCCCCTCCTCAGTCCTCTGTGAATCCACAAGGCACAGAAATGTGAGGGAGCATGGACAGGTGTCCATAACAAGGTTTCTGGAAGTGCAGAGAAACAGACATATCTGTGGGAAGGGTGGACAATGGCAGCCCGCAAATGAGGGGCCGGCTCACTCCTCCATCGGGCCATGCAGAGTCCCTCCTACAGGACAGAGTCCCTCCTACAGGACAGAGTCCCTCCTACAGGACAGAAACAGACACATGGGTGAGGAGGCGGGCCCAGGGAGCACACCTCAGGAAGGTCCAGGAGAGCAGGGATTGAGTCACTCTGACTCCAGGCTCCGTATTCTCTCCCCAACGGGGAGTGTTTTGAAATAGTCTCCTGTTAGCTACAGTTCTTATGTTTATCTTCTTAAACTTTATTTTATTAATTACTATTATCATTAGCAGTGCTGGGGATTGAACTCAGGGCCTTGTGCTTGCTAGGCAAGTGCTCTTACTATTCAAGCTACTATCCAGTCCTCCTCTTTTTAAACTTTAAAAACTCAACCATTTAGCAGACCGCCAACTTTGTAGCACCAGTTGGCACAGGAGAAGGAAGAATGAGGAGGACTGTGTGAATTCACCTCTGGACTTTGAAGGCAGAGCTTACTCACTGGGAAGGTGGGATACTGTCTGGGAGGAAGGCCAGCCCTGCAAACCCTGGAGTCAGGACCCGGAAAAATGACACCAAATAGCTAGTACTACATTCCTTACCATCTGGAGTAGAAGTACTCACTGCTGTTTTTCAGTTCTCATGAACCAGTTTTAATAAAGGTCACTTAGCTACCCTGAGCACAGCTTTACCACTGGCTCTGAAGCATCACCTGCAAAGCTCCCTACTACTGCAACCCAGCACCCTCAGTCTGTCAGCATCCTCACCCCTGTACCCTGCCATGTGGACTTTGCCTTCCTAACAAAAGCTCCTAAATCAGAGACTGTGGGCTAGTTCTGTGAGGAACAAGACCTGCTCCAATCAATGGACTGCCCAATCTTTCATTTGCCCTGCTGGCACCCATCGTAGTGGCATCACTTCTCATCATATCACCCACTGTGCACGTGAACTCAAGCATCCTGAAGCTTACAGAGACCAGCTGCAGGACTGCCTTAGACAGCTATTCAAAATTTAAAAGGAAGGCCAGGTGCTGGTGGCTCACACCTGTAATCCTAGTTACTCAGGAGGCAGAGATCAGGAGAATTACGGTTCCAAGCCAGCCCAGGCAAATAGTTTGTGAGACCCTATCTTGAAAAAACCCTTCACAAAAAATTTAAAAAAAAAAAAAAAAAGGGTGGGGGAGGATGGTGGAGTGGCTCAAGGTGAAGGCCCTGAGTTTAAACCCCAGTACTGCCAAAAAAATTAAAAATAAAAAATAAAATGAAGCCAGGCAGAACGGCTCATCCTGTAATCCTACTAGTGTAAGTTACTCAGGAGATGGAAGTGAGAGGACTGCGGTTCAAGGCCAGCCCCAGCAAGCAGTTAGCAAGACCCCATCACAACCAACAAAAATGGTGGTGCACATCTGTCATCTCAGTATGCAGGAAGCATAGATAGGAAAATCCAGTTGTAGGCTGGTCTGGGAAGAAAAGGGAAACCCTACTCAAAAAACAGCAGAAGCAAAAAGGGCAGGGGGAATGGCTCAAGCAGTAGAGCACCTGCTTACCAAGTGTGAGGCCCTGAGTTCAAATTTCAGTACTGTAAAAAAATTAAAACAAAAACATCAGAGACCTTTCTCACTGCTGTTCTCTCTTTTTCCAAGTTCCACTTTGTATTCAGAATGACTACGCATAGTTTTTATTTTTTGAAACCCAGTACTGAGGCTCAAACCTAGGTCCTTGCACGTGCTAAGCATTTTCTCTGCTGCTGAGCCACACACCTAGGCCTAGATGTGACTCTTACTGTGTTTTTTAAAAAAAAATGTGAATTCACACACACACAGTTTACATCATTTGGAAAATTCATCCCACTTCCTGTATTTTTCATTCAATAACAGGTGTGGTAGATAGGTCCATGTCAGCACAAGCAGCTCTTGGGTTCTTTCTACTGGCTGTACCACCCACTCGAGTGGGCCACTACAGGGAGGCTGACAGCCTTGGTGTAATGTTCTTGAATATTGTACCAAATATACAAAGGAAGTAAACTTTTCTAGGGAGGGTCTTCAAAGCAGATTTGCTTTTCCTACCTAATTAAACAAATTCAGACCCTGGCTATTTTAACCTGAAAAACAACCATATGGCAGGTCAATTATGGGAGACAAGGGGTTCAGAGAACAAAATTTCATACAACTCCCCATTTTTTCTACACCACCAAGATGAATCGGGGGAGTAGAGAGGAGTCAAATGTACAAACAAACAAACTCTCCAAATACAGGTTAAACTTAGAGTCACAAGATAACCATTTCAGACCCCAAAGAGATCCAAACAAGAGATAGACACATTGCTCAATGAATCTGGAAGGAGAGCAATACAGACTTCTGGACTCTGTCTGCCCCAGGCAGCAAAATGGCCTGAAGAGGGCAGTGCAGAGTTATAGAACACTGAAGGGTAAGTCAAGGAAATGAGGTCAGAGCAGGGCTTCCATCAGGCTCTTTCAGCCAGGGCAAGTAGAGATGGTCTGTGTATAGCACTGGGCTCTGTACTAGCTTAGAGTCTGCAGTATTTTAAGTATTCAAAAGAATACGGCATTTTATCATGTCTTTTTAAACATGGCCCCATGTTAGCTGTCTCCTACACATCCTAGTGGAGCCACCACAAACAGAGCTTTAATCAGAGAACAAAAGGATGTATCCACATGAAAGGGAGACATCCCCACGAAGATAGAAAGCACCTGTGAGAACCAGGAGTGAGAAAAGGAAGAGAACTGTCAGATCCAGAAAGCCAGTGGGACCTCAAAATCTTACTTACTTTTCTATCAAATCCAGTGTGACTCCAGGCACCAGACTAACACACTTCTGCATGCAAAACCTGCAGAGAAAAGAAAAACCTGTGAGTGGTACAAATGAAAAGCAAACACCACTATGCATCAGCAAAAGCAGAACTTGAAGAGGGGATGAACCAGCTATGGTAAACAAACAGATCTAGGTTTTCCTAATTCTAGCAGCTTTTGGCTAAAGAGGAAACTCTCACTGCCAGCTGGTAAAAGGTGCAAGACTCCAGCACCCATTCGTGAGTTGTCACCAGTAAGGAAAGGAGTCCGTGGGCAGTCAATGAATCCTCATCCCCAGAGACAAGTGCCGAGACGTGACATAGAATAAGGCTTTCAAATTAAATGCTGCTGGGGCAGTCTGGACTTCTCATTTTTTTTCTTCTTAAGAAAGTGAGCTGGGAGAGTGCTGGATGAGCAGATAAATAACTTCAAGGTACACAAAAGAAACTGAGAAACAGAATTCAACAGAAATTCAAGTGTGTGCTGACATAGGACAGGAAACTATCTTTTCTTCCTCCTGTCAGGGCAAGACAGGATGAAACAGGGCAGGGCAGAATCAACAGCAATATGGAGTAAAGGAGCAACTTAAGGTTTTAAGAAATGCAAGCACTCGATTCATCTACATTTAAAATTAAGACAAGGAACCCCCTTCGAAAACAGCAGCAGGTATACAGCAAATACAGATGGACCCTGACTTAGGAAGGTTTGACTTGTGGTCTTCACCTTTGCAATGGATGAATTTTGAATTGAGCTCCTCCTGACTTAGTGACACACAGTTCATCACACTCTTGTGACGCTGGGCAGAACCTCTATTGTCAGAGGTGCGAGCAGCCTGCCACAGCCATGTGATTGTGAGGGAAACAAATGACACTCTCCAGGGTGTATCAGCAGTGTGGCTAACAGGGCATGGTCAGTCAGGCAGGTGGGTTACATGCATTTTCCACTTATGCCTTGAACTTAAAATGGGTTAACTGGGACTTTCCATACATCACTGGTAGGCACCAGTACAAGTACCAGGCCACAATCAGGGGGACAGGTGGGCTGCAAGGGTACAGAGAGCGTGGGATAAGATGTAAGAGAAACAAAAAGGAACACCAAGTTCCAGAACCAGGAGAACAATGCATGGTCATGTAGACAGGATGTGCCAGGAAAGTGGCTCCTCCCCTCTGCAGCCTTCCAGGAAGATGGAGATGGAGCTGGCTGCTCAGGACACTGAGCACAACAGCCCAGCCATGCTCACTGCCTCAAGAAACAAGGCCTACCATGGTCTGCAGATAAGAAATTTTGTTTCTGGTTGTGGCTACAGTAGTCATTGTCTTATTGTTTAAAGAGCAAAAGAAATAAACATGAGGCCATGTTTTTCTGACAAAGTGTATGTGGCCTAGATGCTCCATCCCCCCAGCCTGTAGTTCCATTCTGAGCAGATCCTTCTGTTGGCTTTCGGGGCTCTGCTTGGCTGGCTCCAGGTATCTACAACCTCAGAACCAGCACAGGTACATGTGACTCTGACTGTGGTTGCACAGAAGGCCAGATCTGTAGGTGGATAATTTTGTACAGGAAATGCATTCTTGGCTCTGAGTGGTGTGCAAACCATGTTACTTGTATTTGTCTTTTCATCCATAATGTACTTATTGATCGAGATTTCTGGAGTCCAATAATGACAGAATCATTTGTATCAGACTAATTCTTTTGCCAATAGCAATAATAAACTCTGGACAAAATATAAAAAACAACCATTTGAAAATACCATTTAGTTTCTGTAGGTAGAAACTAAAAGGGCTATGACCCTTAGCAAAGGAGAATTACTCTGAATGAATCACCTCTGTTGGGCTCTGCAATTCACACAGCACATAGGGTCCGTGCTCTTCAAGGAGGCAGCAGTTTTCTGGGCTGAGGACTCAGAGGTCAGGATTCAAGGCTGCCAGGAAACTGCAGGGACTAACCTTAGAAAGAAGAAGCCAAAATCTCTCACGCATCCCTTCCTCAAGTCCTGGCTGACTCTGAGCCACAAACAGGCTGTGACTACTGGGGTCAATGTGGAGGGCAAGGAGACCATGAGGCTGCAAATGCCAAGGGAGATTTCAGCATCTTTTGCCACTGAGGAGGCAGAGAGGGCCTGATCATGCCTCAGTCACAAGCCCGCTACAGGATTAAGAGCCACACCTTGGAACTAAAAGCAAAGCCAAAGAGACCACACCCACAAGCAGGCCTCTGCAAGCTCAGTTTCAGAGGAGTCTTGGTGCGGTTCCTCCAGGACAGTTGGGATGCTATCCAAGGGCAAGAGAAACCACAAACAAAAATGCCTGGGTGCCAGCACTAGAGAGGCTGAAGCAAGAGCCTACCTCCCTCCCAAGCCCACCCACCCCAGAACCAACCAAAAACAAACAAAATTTTGGAACTGGCCAACACTGGCTTAAAATTTATAAAATTAATTTATAACCTGGGAGATAAGCATTTTTATAAGCATTGAAAATAAAAAGTTGTCTTAAGTAAGAAATTAAAACAAGGACACCACACAAGTCTGCAATATTGATGGTATGCTTATTTGAAGTATAGATAATTTGAGTCACCAAAATCCACAACTGTCACCGCAACATTATCAGTTCTCTGTATCAGAACTGCTAACAGTCCCATTTTTCATTCTATTGTTTTCCTTCCCTTACATGAGATTGTTCCTGTCAAAGGCCAATGATTAGGCAAAAGCAGAGAGGTAACAAAAAAAGACTCAAAAATCCACAAAACTGGATACAAATAATTATAATAAAGAACAAAACAGCTAATACTTATTTATGCTTACTACTGCGTAATTGTTCTATGGGCTTTATATGGATCAATTAATTCTCACATTTTATAGGTGGGAGACCATCTGCAAACTAGGACATGATAGTGACATTTAAGAATATCAAAGATAAACAGGGTGCTGTGGCTCACGCCTGTAATCCTAGCAGAGATTAGGAGGATCATGGTTCGAAGCCAGCACTGGCAAACAGTTCTCCTGACGCTATCTTGAAAACACCCAAAACAAAAAAGGACTGGTGGAGTGGTTCAAGTGGTAGAGCACCTGCCTTGCAAGCATGAGGTCCTGAGTCCAAACAGTACTACAAAACAAGACAAAAAAAAAAAAAATCAAAGACAGCAGGGCATGGTGGTAAACACCTATAGTCCCAGCTACTTGGGAGGCTGAGGCAGGAGGATGGCTTGAGCCTCAGAGTTCCAGACCAGCCTGGGCTATGTAGCAAGACCCTGTCGAAAAGAAAAGAAATTAAAGTCAACAAATAGACACGGAAAACTTTCAGAAAGGAAAAACGCAACACAGGAGGCAGGAAAATAGTGGAGTAGTATTTTTAATTTATTGAAGATAAAGAACTTAGAACCTAGACTTTTATATCCAGCCAGATTGACATTCAAATGCAAGAGCAAGCAAGACAAAAATACTCTCAGGCAATGAAACCCCTTTGTACAATTAACTTACATTAATTTAAAAAAAAAAAGAAGAAAGGAAAAAATATTCTCAGGCATATTTGACCTCATAAGGTTTGCCATCAAAAGAATAAGAGAAAGACAGTTTGGATCCCATACTTAAGTAAGCAGACAGAGAAATCTGAGATGCTATAAGAGATGTATGAAATAACAATGACATAGAACTTTGGTCGAGGTTGTTAAAACAACCACCAAAAAGCAAAGGGGGGAGCTATTTATTGCAACCAGAATTGAAAACCCAGATATCACGTGGTGGGTGAGGTGTGAGGATACTAGCTGTTTCCAAGGGGATTTCTCAAGCATGCCTATCATTTCAGAACTGCATCTGACATGTCAAAAAAAAAATTCCTATAACGGATAAGAAGAGCACAAAAATCCAACAGAGACACAAGCAAGGGCCAAGAACAAGCGACTCACAGACAAGGGAGGATACAGCCTCTAATGACATGAATAGAATGCTCAATGTCACCAAGAGATCAGAGAAGTGCAAGTCAAGACCACATGGAGACTCTATTCTACACTTGCTCAGTGAGCAAGAATGAACACACCATTTGATGTCAAGCACTAGAAAGGATAGGGATGCACAAAATGTCTTTGATGTTGTAGGAGTGTAAGATGGCAGAACTGTTTTGGAAAACACTTTGCCATGAGCTCTAAAATTGAACATTCTCATAAACTATGCTCTTGCAACCCTATTTTTTTGGTACATGTGAAACCCTTGTAATATATTCAACAGAACTCATGGAAAAAATACCCATGTCACCCGTGCTTATTACAACAAAAGGAAGATACAGTGCACCAAACAAAGCAGAATGAGGAAAACCCAGAACTGGTCAAGTATGCACTAAAGATGCGTTACGTCATACACCCTGCACCTGCAGGAGCAGACTTACGCAGCTGCACACATCAACACCACGACTCAGTGGAAGTCCCCCAAATCACACATGCCATTACAGGTGTTAATGCATCTCAGTCTGAAGCAGTACAGTCAACGAGAAAAGAGGGCACCAAAGGAGCCCTGAACCCAGTGCCCAGAGTAGTGGTCAGGGGTGGAGGTGGGCAGGTATCAGCAAGGGCATGACACAGCCAGATCGGCACTAATAGGTTATTGCTCCACGCTCAGGGCATCCCAGGCTGCTCTGCAAACTGTGTAGCCTGATACACCTTTTCTTATCCTCTACTCTTCTGTGGTTTGAACTCAGGGTCTCTCCCGTGCTAGGCAGGTGATTTACCGCTTGTGCCACACCCCCAGCCCTTTTTTACTTCAGTTATTTTTCAAGTAGGGTCTGATGATGTTCTTGTCCTGGGCCAGCCTCAAGCCATGATCCTCCTACCTGGCCTCCCACGTAAGCCAGCTTATTGGCTTGAGATGGGGTCTTACTGACTTTTCCCCCCAGGGTGGCCTCTAACTGTAATCCCTCCTGATCTCTGTCTCCTAAGTAGGCAGGGCTGTAGGCATGAGCCGCTGTGCCCAGCTCGTGTTTGTGTGTTTAACCTGTCAGTTGTGAAGCTCTTGGCCATTAGGAACTCAGTGTAGTGAGCTACAGATGAGGAGCAT